CTTCAGACGGCTGGGCGTGTCAAACAATATGAGTGTGTCACCCCGTCAAAGCCGTTCTCTGCCTTCTTGTTGAAGCGCGCATGCGACAAAAAGTGGTAGAAAACGAGTAATACGAACGATATACAGTCATATCACTTGCTCGCTTTAACAACTGGTGGAGAACGGGTTTGGCACCGCGCCAAACTCATCCCGCCTGACACGCCCAACCTTCCCAACACTATGGTATAGTACCAAAGATCGCCGATTTCATTCACCGCTTTCCAGGTGATATGGATCGTTCGACGGATCGTGACTCGTTGATTCGATCAACCGTATCAATGTATGCGTCTCAAGTACAATTACCTGATAATCATGCTGATGACGTCATTTATGCCCCAGATGAGATTATTACTGGTGGAGGTGAGTGGAATTAATGAACTGCAATGTGATAGATTTCCCATAATCCATTCTACAATACTTTTTATTTATTCACCTTTTACCCTATTTTCCAAGGGACATGGCCCACTTATTTGCATTTAGTAGTGACAGTGCGCTCGAAAGTTTCTGTTCCAGACGGCTTTCTCTAGGCTTTTATGCATATTCTAATCTTCTAGTTGCGTTTGAAACACCAGTATCCAAAAAACAGATCATTCCAAATTGAATTTCAAAATACCACTCACATAGACAGGGTCATCAAAAATTACGCGAAAGGAAAGCCAAAGGAAATAGGGAAAAGCTAAAAAAAAGGAAAAAATTGCGGCGTTGAGTTGAAGGTCTGCCCTATACAAAGGTGCGACTTATACCTCAGAAAATAGGGTGTTATTCGATCATTTATTTATTTATTTATTTATTTATTTAATTGTTTGTTTATTTATACAGTAACATTTCAAGCGAAAACGGAGAGGCGATTCCTGAGAAATGTATCAGCTTGAACTGAAGCTTTAGTACATTTATTCGAATCAGATTTAGGCAGATATTTGCTCATTCTCCTTTGAAATGCTTCCCGTTTTTTATCTTCTTTTCGGATTTTTTTGTGCTTTTGAAAATCTCAGTGCTTAATTTTATAAGCTATCTCTAAGGAAAAGGTATAATAATTCATCATTAGATTGAAAATGAATTGGAATGTTAAAAATATACAAAATAAAATTAAAAAACTTTAGATGTTGTCGATCGGGAGGTCTTGTAATACTTATCTCTGAGCACATTACTCGTAACTTCTTGTTACTCTACTGGAATATTTTCATGGCTTTTACAGGATTAACTGTTTATCTCCTAAAAGTTGATTCATTTCGTGTAATAATATTGCGAGATATTTCAGTGATACTTTTTGATATTATTTTGAATCCCTTGTAGATGATAAACAGGTCACGTCATATTTTTAGTGTCCCCGGCGAAGGGGTCGTATGTGGTCGCTGAAGGGAGTGGGGTCCTAATTGCGTTAGAGGAAAATGGCTTCGGTTGTTGACTTTTCTCGGTTTTCGCGCTTTGTATCGTACACCCTTCCCCAAGTCGTTCGGCAGCAGCTTGTCGGAGAAAAATTAGAGAATTTTCGGAAGAACCTCCGGAACAGTAATAGGAAGTCGGGAAAATTCAGGAAAATGGTAGGTAGGACGCGAAAGGGGGGGGAGGGTCATACCGGAGGAGGAAATTTCGAGGAGGGGGTAGTACTTTGCAAAACTTCCCTAACAGCAAAACGCGCTCAGATGATAAATGTAATACCATTAATTATGATTGTTAGTTATAATCAAGTGAAAATACACGTAATGATCACGAATGGATAGATTAAATAATCGTTGACAATTTCAGTGTTGAGTCAACGAGACGACAGTTCCGATTGCTATTTGTTGGATAAGGATCGTAGTGAAAACGGGTAGGTTATTTTTGTCAAAGGAAAGTTCCAAAAACGAGTACTAGTAGGAGGTTTTTAGGCAGCATTATTCTGTTAGATAGACTCTACAAGGGAGTGGTTTGAATTTCCCATGGAACTTTGAATAGACACCTAGGTACATATAGAGCCTCGAATGCTGATTACGAATATGCAAATTAAAAGTGCTACGGGGACCTCCCAGACGAGTTCTGGGTGGTCAAAGTTTGGAAGAGCCAGTTTTGGCTCGTAAGCGCTGCTGATCGATGCCTCAGCAGTGTCACCGTGGCCTCGTGGTAATGGTCTCGCTTTCAAGTCAAACGCATGCGGGTTTGCATCCGGTTGGCGCGAAAATTTTGCTTCGCTCCGTATAAGAGCTTCAACTCTAATTTTCGAAATTCTTCCGAATTTATGCAGCAGGGAACTAGATCAAGCCACATGACGTACTCGACCTATTGTGGATTTGGTCATATCTGCCCTCTCTGAACATATTACCCATTCGACAACTCAAAGTTTTGCCCAGAATCGCGCAATTTAGCCAGGACGACGACGTTTGTTCGATTCAAGAGGGAAAGACCCTGTGATTCATTCCGTGTTCAGGATCGAAAATCTCCCATGGACGAGTTTTCTCGATTAAAACTGTTGAATTGTCGGATGGGTAATATGTTCAGAGAGGGCAGATATGACCAAATCCATACTAGATCGAGTACGTCGTATACTTGATGTACTTGATCTACTTGCCCTGCTGGGCCGTAAATTCGGAAGAATTTCGAAAATTAGAGTTGAAGCTCTTATACGGAGCGAAGCAAAAATTTTCGCGCCAACCGGATGCAACCCGCACGCGTTCGACTTTAAAACGAGGACATGTACGCCAGGTCCACTGCCGAGTGCGCGTCGATCAGCATGCGACTTACGATTTCCAAAACTGGCTTTTCGCAAACTTTGACCACCCAGATCTCGTCTGGGAGGTCCCCGTAGCACTTTTAATCTGCATATTCGTAATCAGCATTCGAGGCTCTATCGATGTACCTAGGTCTCCATTCAAAGTTCCATGGGAAGTTCAAACCATTCCCTTGTTAGTGTTGGCATATCTGTTTTTCTCCGATACGCCGCGATAACTCCATAGTAGTGAGGAACAGACTTGGAAAGCAGTAGTGGATGACCTTGGTGTTCTAACTCCATGCGGACACTGGCCTCATCTGCAGATAACCAGTACAGGTTTTAACATAGGTATACCAGTGGTAGGCTTTATTTATTTGCTCTGAAAGTGCTTGAAACAAGTTAGCAGGTCTCGTGACGAGGCTTATGTCCGCGTCCGTTTTTCTGTTTTTTGGTCCGCCCTCCCGCCCGGACCAGAATGCTCCAAGGTGGGAGGAGCGTTATTGGTCTGTTGGATTTAGGGGCTTCGTATTCGCTTTTGAGGGGAAACGTAAAGGCAGTTGCACGAAAATCTCCCAGACGACTACGGATCAATTACTCCTGGCAGGTGATAGAATTCGCGACGGAGCCTGAGCAGGCGGCGCTGCATTAGCGGTTCCCCCGAGCGAACGGTGCCTTTATAGGCCACTATCAAGCCACAACTTTACGTCCCAAACCCCCGCCACGCCCGCCCGCCCTACAAATGGACGACCGACCGTTCCTGACGCTCTAATCGATTCATTTGCTAAGCAAATTATGAAGCGAAGGGATTGGTATGAAGCGGCCGTGATGCTGCATGCATACATGGGTACACATATGCAGCCGTATCTTCGGTAGCGGTGATTGGCAAGATGCCTACGGGAAACTCGTCCGAAATCGATTTACAAGTCACTGAGAACGGAGGCTTTTTCTTCGCAGGATTTTGACCGTTTCACTCCTTTCGCCATTTCCCCACTATACAGCGCCCTACTAGCATTTTAGGCTAAGTAGGAAACCATCGTGCCAACTGCCTTTAATCATTGTAGGTTTTTCTCGGCTTTTCCTCTTTCATTTGTTGTGTTCTCCCCCTCTCCCCGCTGGTAAATTTTTTTGGGGGAGCAGGGGGGAGGGAACCGCGGTAAACGGGGTCTGCACCGGAGGAGGAAATTTTAAGGGGAGGAGGTCGTTTTTGCAAAACTTTCTCTCACAGCAGGACGTGCCCTGGTTCAGCAGTGCTACTACCGGAGAGCCCAAACTAGCCGAGAATTGGGCTGGATTGGTCTCAAACACTTCTTTCCCCTCTCTCAACTACCTTAATTCCCTTACTTGCTAACAATTTTCACACTTTTACCATTTCAGAAACATTCGCCATACTCAAATGGATTCCGGTATAGGACTATGATGTGCACATACGAGTCACCTGATCTCTTCAATCGATGTACTAATCCGATTTTTCGGATCTTTTCTTTATTGATTTCTTGATCACTAGCCGTTTTTTTCTAAACTTTTGCCATTTGTTATATATATTAAGTGCGTGTGTGCGTTTGTCATACTGTTGCATTCGGTTCTCTGTCATTATTGATCGTTATCGATTGTTTCTGGATCCTGCTTGTGTCCTTCGTCTACTGTTATTGACTGATAATCACCGTTGTTGATTTTGTGTGCCATTTGGAAGCGCATCACAGTACATCAGCGGTGTGCCCGTTTAGTAAAAGTGCTTTCTATTTGAATTTAATTATGTAAGGATTTTTAGTGCGTTCTGACGTCATCGGCTTCTAACATTGATTTTCATGAAATTCAAAATTTCATATTTTCGCATGAACCACAGATTTAATAATAGTTTGAAAACTTTATTAACTAGTTTGTTACGCATTTAAGCTGATAGAGAACAGGAGATCATCCATAAGGTTACTAGTGTAAATAAAAATTGCTTTTGTTTTTGAATTTGTTTTAGTTTTGGCGGATACAGTGCATTCAACCGAGCAAACCACCACCAGCGTCCCCTGGGCGCGCGCAAAGTGTACCCTGAACGTCGCTGTGGGTGAGCGTACTCGGTTCTCTGTGCATCAAATATCTCCTGGTTCTGTGTAAACAATATTTAGTGGTCTAAATATGTATTGAAGGAGCACGTGATCCAAGAATAAGGCGCTAAAGTAGTTGAAGGGCTCTGCCTCAACGCCTCTGCGTCCCTTCTCCTAACCAAGCCTTGAGGTGAGAGCGCAGACGACCAGAGTCACGGAGGGCTACTCGCTTCCGTGGTCTTCTCTGCATTCTCTGTCTGGACCCTCTAGCTTTTCACATATGTTAAATGACTCACCCACCTCGGTGTCTTGTTCCCTTGAGAAAGACATTTCTCCTGGTTCGGCACATTTTTTGTACATTTCGATGCTTTGATGACCGCTGCCTTTCTATCTATTTGCACTATCTCTATGCGAATCTGGTAGTCTGTTCTCTAAGCCTGAGCTTTGGTCAGAGGAAGGGAGGGCGCTGCCGCACGGCTGCGCTCAACTACTTTCGCTCCTCTCATATCTGCAGGGAAAATTTGTGGTTTCAGAGTAATGTTTGCAAAAGGCCGACCAGTTTTCCACACAGCTTCCCATGCCTTCTTAGCTAGTTGACTTGAGAGATACAGACAGAAAGAAAGTAGACATGCTGCAGCGCTGCCAATGTGAAACAGGAAAATTTCTCAGATTTCCCCCGGTTTTTCCGAAATTTCTCGAAAAATTTCTGCTTTTTCTCCAAAATTTTGCTGTCGAGCGGGGGGATAGGAGGTCGTCAGGATTTAACTACCATTTTCAACTATCGGAAATAGTAGTTGTATAGATCTTTGACAGTCCCTCTCCCAACAACGACCAAATACGACTCCCCCCTCCCTCGCGGTCAAATACGACCCCTCCCCGTCGTTATCATCACCAAGGTGGCGTGCCCTGCTGCACACATCATCCTACTTGTCATCGCTTTATCGTCGCGCTTGTCACAACTAGAAAGCAACCCTATACACCCATATATGCTACCACCAATCAGCTAATCTCATCCTTCTATGGGACCGGGGTAGGAACGGCAGTGCAGAGGAATCCATATTTTTCTGATGTGTTGCGTCAATTTTCCGTTCGATGTAGTCTCGTACTCCAGTTAACGTATTATGCGGTTGAACTGGCACAATCTGTACTTTTTTTCTCAGAAAAAAAAAGACTGTGGGCCGAACGTGTTCTAATTAGTGCGTCTTGGCACTTCTGCTATCCTATTAGGATCATTAGCTTATGCGTAACCAAGATGGTATAAAAGATCGCCTTCGAGTAGAGGAAAAAAAATGTCAAAAATCAATGAAAACTACCTCGGAAAATTATTTCAAACTCAGATTAAGTAGTCCCAGACCAGTAGTGATCCAAGAAAGTCATAAGAACGACAACCACAAACGATCTCACCGTTCCGGTTTCCTTGTTGAGCACCACCGCTAAATTAGACTCCCCGTGGGTTGGCGCTTCAGTGACCTGACCGCTCTACTCGATGCCGATTGGCGCAGACTGAATGCCCACACACGGTTCAGCCAAACGGGGCGAGCTCCGTTTTGTGAATGGTTCAGGATTTCGCCCTACTATATTCATTCTGGGAATTTTTTAGGCGATAATCCAAAACGCTTCTAAAGTGCTCCAGGACAACTCTCGTGTGAAGGAACACTAGATAGCTTGTCAGGCGGCGGATCAGACAAGAGTCCCCTGGGTTAGTATCGGTAGGCTCAGCGCCATGGAGGACGCGGAGTTGAAGGTGACACGGTGTAGGATCTTTGATGATGCGAGAACCACAGACTTCGGCGCGCAAAACTTTGGAAGCGTTTTGGATTAGCGCTAAAAATCCCAGAATGAATAGAAAGGACGAATGCCTGACCATCACAAACGAGCTCGCCCCGTTTGCTGACCTGTGTGGGCTTCAGTTGCCATCGGCATCAAGTAGAGCGGTCAGGTCAGCTGAAGCCACCGACGGGGAGTCTATTTAGCGGTGGTCTCAAACAAGAACCGGTCGTGCATTAAAGGTGAGTCGTTTGTGGGTGTGTTCTATGACTTTCTGGATCTACTGGTTCTGGTGTGGGATAGCTTATCTGAGGACTTTGAAAAT